TAATTTAACATAAAGGAAGGAATTGTGGAGAGGGGAATATTTTACAACAATGTTGGGTGTTGGTACACTTTGCCAGCCAATTGCAGCTGGAAGTGATCACCAATTCTTTCCCTTAAACCTTAATCAAATCCAAAAAATTAAGTCAGCAGAGAGTGAGCAGCCACCAGACAAACATATTCGTTTTCTAGCAAAAATTATACATCTAGCATATAATCAGTGCACATGGTCAAATCACAATTCCAAAGACTATCAACCAGCGAGAAGCAACCATGGATTAACAGAAAGGAAAAAGCTACACCGCGTTGGTCTCTTTTAGCCAAGATCGAGATGCATACTCCTTTTAGTTGTCACACTTATTTTATTTTTTTTTTTTATCACTCTTACAAAATAAATTATTAAATTTTATAAAAATACATTCATTATAGGTTAAATTTTCTTTTTTTTTTTGAAATAGGTTTGAAATGGGGGGGTGAATCAAACCCAGCCCCAAAGGATTAGATGCACCTATAAAGGCAATTAATGCCACTAAACCGAAAGATTAGGTCCATTATATTACTTTTAGTAAGTTAAATATTTTAAAGGTAAATTTTAAAAAAGATATAGTATAAATTTTAACTTAAAAAAAAAAAAAGACTTTTAAGTTGCTTATTCTAAATATAATTTTTTAATTTTTAAATTTATATGAGACAAAAAGTAGCTTAAAAGAAAGTTAACTAAAAAAGCAAACCTGGAGGTCAAGAGCACCAAGCCATGGCACATAATCTGTGATGTTGAATCCTCCAGTTAAGTTCAACCCTTCAGCAACAGATTCCTTCAACTTAAATCTCTCATCTTTACTTCGCCCCAGAATCATCTTATAGTACATGTTCTCACCGAGTTCACGCACCTTGTCACTAAGGTCGACCACCTCACCGGCCGCCGCCGCTCTCCTCAGTGACTCCACCAAACACCCCAGCTCCGCCCTCCTTATCGGCGCAAAGAATTCGATTTTCGACGGGCTAAGAAGCTCTAGAGTAACCAGCTTCTTGATGTCTCTCCAGTATAAACCGTATTCTGCAAAAATCATGCCCTTGCTATTGTATGCCATGTATTCTATGGCTTGGAGTTTGGGTCTGCTGGCAAAAATGAGATCATGGGTTTTTAGGAATAGCTCAGCAGCGCTGGGGGAGGATATTACCACGGTGGGTACGTTACCTAGCCTTAATGACATTATGGGGCCATATTTTTTGGCTAATTGATAAAGGGTTTGGTGTGGGAGGTTGCCAAGCATGTGTAGGCTGCCGATAATTGGCAAGGCTCGGGGGCCAGGTGGAAGTTTCCGGTCATATTTGCGGTGGACGGCGCGTAGTATGTGAAGAAATGAGTAGAGAGATGCAAGGAGGAGCAAGACAAGGGATAGTGTTGCGGGAGACATTGATATTTTGAAGATAAGGGTTGTTGCGGGAGACATTGATATTTTGAAGACAATGGTGGTTGTTGCGCGAGACATTGATATTTTCTGATGATGATAGCATAGGGCTTACGGGCCCAAGTGATTCCTATTTATAGAATTTCCTAATGATAGAAATTGCAGGGCTGATCTAATGCGATAAATGATCTGGGACCGAACTGGGTGGAGGTAAATAAGACATCCAACGTGATGATATTGATAATTTTGATTGAGACACTTGACTGTTTGTGGGGTAGAATACCTTTAACAATTACTGAACAAAGGATTAATCTAACCCGGATCATTATGATTGGGACACGTATGTTTGTAGAGAGGAGTGGCTTTAGCATTTATTCAACAAAGGGTTTTCTAAATCTATATCTTTATGCGGAAATTAAGAATATAATTATTATATTTTTTATATTAATTAATATTATAAAATATAAAAATTATTATTAATTTTATTATTAATATGATAGTTATTTAAATAAAAAAATTGATTTTTATTTTTTTAATA